TCCCTCTGCGCCGCTGTCACCTCCTCCTCCTCACTAGACTCGGTACCGCCCTCCTCCTCCGTCCTCCCTGGACTCGCCGCCGGCCGACCCCTCCTCGCTCCGCCCTTCCTCCTCCGTCCTACTCTCTCCTCCCTCCTCAAGTCGCCCCTCCTTCTCCCTCCTACTTCAACAACCCCTTCTCCCTACTACATTTTGATTTAGTAGGCTAGGTCATGTGCAACATTTTGATTTAGTTCATATGATTTAGTTGATTTAGTAGGCTAGTTGATTTAGAACATTTTGATTTTGTTTATTTAGTAGGCAAGTTGATCTAGTAGGCTAGTTGATAGGCTAGTTGATTTATAAAACATTTCGATTTAGTTGATTTAGTTGATTTAGTATTCTAGTTGATAGCTCTAAAGATTTGGCACCACCTAGCTGTGAAAATATAAGTGAAGAAGAACCAAAAAATCACATGCTACTGTTTTTCTTTCGTGTGAAGTGGATCGTTAATCCTTTCCTCATATTGCTTTAGGAAAATGGCGCCACCACCACCACCACCACCATGTCGATTATGCAAGTCAAGGAGCGCCAACAGCCTTGCAACTGGCAAGCTGTTCGGCATCTACATCCAGCCGAGTTTTCGTCATGCGGTGGTAAGAAATTATATGAAATGTAACAACTATTTTATTTTTAGTGTTGGCATTACTGCATTGTGTCATTTTTCTTTTTTACACAGATCATCCCATACAATGTGAGGTTGAAATTGAATAAGCTGACAGAAGACACTGTGATATTTCAGGCTCCTGGGAGCCATACACTATGGAGGTCGAGAAAGGACGCAATACTTCGCAAATTGGAGGAGATGGATGGGCCCGTTTCCTCGCCCAGATGCGTCTTACTGGTGGTGAGTTGATCAGCTTCTCCTTCAGAGTAGAAAGGCCCAAGCTGGTTGTCATTTATATCAACCTGGTCGAAGATGATGAAGATGACGAAGATGATGAAGATAACGAGGACCCACTCGATGAAGATGATGAGGACCCACTTCATGAAGCCATCATAGCTCAAAGAACGAGGCTGAGCAAGGAGGAGGTGTGCAACCTATGGGACATAATGCCGCCACGTGATGACTTTGTCGGGGGTGCCATTCGTGATCCGCCTGACAAGTACCATGGTCGATCGACATGATATGGTATGTTATACTTACAAATGCAAATTATCCGATGATATGCTTAGTGTAGAGTCCAATGATATGTTGTGTGGAATCTAGTCAATGATATGCTTATTAGTGTAGAATTTAAGGAACTATTAATTAATAGTGTAGATAATCCATATATACTTATTTGCAAGAGTATGTGCGAGGCTATTTATTAATTGATATGTTTTTTCTTTTTCAGAAATTGGCAAAGAGCCTATCTGTTAGTTATGGTATAGAGCATGATGAAGAAGGCTCAGCTGGACTACGCCTTACCACAAGGGGCTCTGTCACAATCTGTAATTACCGCGTGGACACGGA